CATGTTATTTGTTACAGTAAAAAGTATGTTATCAAAGATTTATTTTACAAATTTAGATCGCCTCAGCCAAAGGCTCAAGTGAGCTATTCTGATCTAAATATGTCTGCTGTCTGTCGTTGATGTCCTCGTAAACTTAAAGCATTTTTATCGTCTCAAGAAACACTGGGCTAGAAAAACTAAAACTTATGTGAAAGCATTGTTGGGTAGTGTGGAATCTCATTTGTTCAAATCATGACCCTTGGTGTAACCCCATTGTGGATGGGGCTACAATAGGTATTAAAAGGGAGGAAAATTGATGTAAAACAATCTGGTCACAGTAACATGTACTTATTTTATGACGATTTATTGGCATTAATAATAAATGTTGAGTTTACACATTTGGTAATTTGAAAATGGAAATCCACAATACATGTATTTATGTGGACTTTCGAAAATGTTTTTAAATGTACGTCTCCTTTTTTTTTATTTGAATTAATTTATTAGTCAATTACATGTACGATACATATTATCTTATAAATAGATCTTTGAAAAAAAAACTTCCAAATAACATTTATAATTCTAAGCACAGGCCGGGAGTAATGTGAAGCCAAAATGTAGTGCAGTATCAAAGTTTAAGACAGTAATACAAAAGAAAAATCTTTTAATTTTTTCTCAAGAAACACTGGGCAAGGAAAGAAACTCACGATGAAGTATCCTCTGTTAGTGTAGAATCGATTTATTAAATTTTGACCCCCGGTAGTAGAGGGAGGCCAAAATGGATCAAAATTTAACATTGGAAACATTTTTTAAAATAATCTTCGCAAGAACAACAAAGCCTTGATTTTTCATACTTAAATTGAACCATCCTCAGGCAGTGAAGGTTCATGTGTATTCAAATCAGGACCTCTGCGGTATGGTTGGGACACAAAGTGGGATCAATTTTTAACATATGAATATGTAAGTAAAACCTTCACAAAGTTTCTCTAAGAGCAGCAAAGCCATGATGATTAAAGGTTACATGTGTATCGAAGCATCCCGTTCAGTGTTCATTCAAATTTGTTCAAATCATGACCACTGAGGCAATGTTTGGGACGATTATGGTTGAACCGAGTTTTAAGTATAATAACATTGAAAAACTTTGAAATGCTTTTTCTCAAGAGTAGCAAAACTGTGATTGGTCATATTTATATAGAAATATTCTCGGATATTGCAGATTCAAGTTTATTCAAATAATTACCTCGTGGTAGAGTTGTGCTATAATGGGTGATCAAGGTTTTACGTTGAAATTCATAAGAATACATAGGAATTGTCGTTGAAAGTCTTATATTGAATAAACAAGAATCCACAATTGATCATCAATATAAAAGCATCAGAAAAGTAATATAAATTTTGATTTGATCAACTCAAGACCAACCAGAAGAAAACTGGAGCCATTTAAGTGGCTCATTGTTAAACAAAGGAATATAAATCAATATAAATCATTTTATTATCAGCTATGTTGCAACCGTTAATGATATAACGCCGCTTAATGATAAAAATATAATTTATTTCATATAAGTGTTGCAACTGTAGCGCTTAACGCTATTACAATATCATTGTATCATTGCATTTATGTTTGACCTTTTCAACCGCTAATGCTAAATCGCCACTTGATGAAAGATTCATATTATTAAGCGGATGAGCATATCAGCTATTAATCTAATGATTTATATTATTAGGCGTTGTAAGCGTTGGATAAATACGCTTAATGATATTTGTATCATTAAGAGGCGTTAAATCATTAGCGGTTGCTACACAGCTAGGTTATCATTTATCGCGTAATTTAAATCAAAGTTCCTTGGAGATTGTAGATTAAAGTTGGTTCTAATTCACCCTCTCCCCCAAACCCTCTTTTGTATTCAAACTTTTCAATAAAAGATGAGCAATGTGTCCCCGGGACTCTTATTGATTTATTTTAAGGATTTCTCGCTCTGTTATTCTGAAGTTTGTAAGCAATTCAATAGATATATTACAAAAATACATCATCAAAAACGAAAGATGGAAAAAAGCATAATTAGATTTTTTAAAAATATGCTTTTGTGTCTAAATTAATGACAATCCCTGCGTAAGAGTCAGGTTTACAAAATATTGTTTGGAATATCATCTTCAGTTTTTATTAGTTTTATATCATAATGGGTATCAATAATAGCTTCCTCGTTTAAATCAGAACTTTTAATTTGTTATATGGTTTTATTAAATTAATGGATCATAAGAATGTACGTTATGTACAGAGTTTCCACTAAGTTGACCGGAGACAGGTGGGAACACCAAGTTTCAGGGTCTTTCGTCTGACAAAGCGATGCACTGTACATTGTTTATCTTATTTAAAAATAACTGATTTTTTCCTTAAAATAATATACATGTATATTATGTGTTTATCGATAAAAATAATTTTAGAAACAAATATTTAACAAACTGATTTTTGGTGGTGATTTTTTGAAATTTTAAGTTTGTTGAAACTGTTCTCAGTGCCTAACTTTATACGCATTGAAAAAAGTTTAAAAACGTGATACGCGAATGCGTAAAGGCGGTTTGATTAAGTTTGGACATTACGCAATCATTTAACAGCAGCTTATAGGTGGCCTAATGGTTTCTTTATGGACTTTGGGCATTTTGCACCTATAAGCTGCATGTTCATGGTGGATTAAATGGTGGCTTAATGTAATTAGCTTCTTTAAGTCACCATTACGTGTACGTCACTATTGAAGTGGCAATATCACGCATCTCTTCAAAAACAGACTTGTTAAAGTTTTCCTATAGGATATGGAATTTTTTTCATACTCATAAATGTATACACTTTCAGAAAATTACAAATTTTATAAGTAAATAATTCTGATTATTTCATTAAAATTGATAATTATTTATGGTACATAAATATATACATTGCAACGTGTTCGAGGTTCCACATTCCATGCTATGACGCATGCGTATTGTTTTCATAAATAAAACAGCATGGTAAGAGAGGGAATCCCGGTAGGCCTGCTACATTGTCAAAGTCGACCAAAACGAAAAACAAAACCAAAAATAGGGATTGAAATTAAATAACAACTTTCCTGTCAAAAAATTAGTCGGGAGATTAATATATAATCATTGGATGAAGAAGAAACGGAACCTCGGCGACATTAACGTGGGGCTCGCGTAGGTTTTACCCTACAGGTTTGTTGATAGTTGATACATGCTATCATTTCTCGTATCTCCATAGCTTTCAAAGAACAAAAAATCAGTGTAAACTCAACATAAAAATGCACTTATGACATATAAAAATTATTGCCATTAGAAGTGCAAATTGTATTGGAACTGCAGAAAGATATTTTGTTTGACATTTTGCCGCAATGAAGTATGATTTGGTGGGTTTTCCTTTCCTGCACCCCAATACACACAGCGTCAACATTTGTACTTAATCATGTTAAATTCGTCTGAATGCAGACTAAAATGTTACTTATTATTAATTTACCGAGGAGTAAAGATATTTTGATTCTGAGAATTGCTTTTAACTAATATTCCATTATAATTGTAAACCCTACATTGTATGCACGTGCCATTTTAGAAATCACGTGGTACAAGTAAACAGGTCTAAGTTGTACGACCCTTGATTTTCTGGCAGATTCTAATTACGTTAATTTTGTATGAGGAGAGAATATCTATTTTTCTCAAAATGCTTACTTCAACTTTTTACCTTATTCCTGAATGATATATTGTGTAAATTTGAATGAAAAAGCACACGATTTGCAGCCGTATTGCCGCTTTAAGGAATTGATTTAAGATGTGTTCTTTTCATTCTGTTCACCAAACCTCTAATACGAAGGTTGTTCGAAAAGTTCGTGAACAACTGTCATACCTTTTTCATTTGACGCTATTGGTTATCCAAATTGGCATGCCATCCAAATTTAGTATACATATTTAACAATAAATCCAAATTGTATTAATTTTTTCAAATTATAACAATTTATTCAAAACGTATCCAAATTTTAAAAATGCCAAAATCGGATCGCGGAGCAGGTCAAAATTTAGTAGGTTACGGACAACGCTCTAAATAATGTCTGTAGTCACATTCTCTGTAAAATGGAACAAAAACGAAAAACAACCTAGATATTCTAATGAAGAGTTGTTACATCGATTCGTGTACCAAATTATGGTTTTATATTTTGCTTTGTAAAAAAAATCAATTTGAGAAGGTAGGTCGTCCTTATTGAAAATGACAAAAATGATGACGTTTTAAAACGTCACGGATCAGCGGATAAAGATGCAATTTTTTGTTTTACTCAGAAAAAATCCTTAATAAACTCTAAAAATGTTAGATAAATATGATTATATGTCACACGCAAGTTGTGCATGTCTGTACAAATATTACAGGCAGTGTTTGAGTGACAGAAACTCTGTATCGGATGAGGATGACCTGTGAAGAAACGATTTAACTGTAAAAATCTGAACAAAATAAAAAGTTGAAACGTCAAGGAAAGACAAAGGCGCTTCAAATTGCTTATCCTGTTAATGCAGAGATAAATTATAAAGGGAATTAAAACCTTAACAAAGGAATTTATACAAAAAGAGCAAAAAAAAAATTAATTTTTAAACAAAAATGTCAAGTAATTGAAAAAGGAATTAATAAATGGGCATTGTATTATACTGTGTGAAATGTATAGGGATATTATTTTTTAGAAATTCTCGACGCTATGTTATGACATTACATTGCCGTTAAGTGTGCTCCGCTGGTACAAACCATGATGATTTTAAAATGAAGTAAATTGATTTCTGTTAAATCGAATGGAATGAAACTTCACGAATCAATAAAAGAAATATTCTTACATACTTTAATGTGCTTATTTTAAATTTCTAGGGAGTAATATAAAGAAGATCGACATCGTCCACTAACTTTTCGAACAACCCTCGTACTAGTAAATTTTTTTTATTATTAAAGTATAATTTGAAAATATAAGGCTTGACACAAGACGTATATTAATTGATTTCCTTTACATCATTTATTTTCTTTCAAAATAGAATATGCCCGGAAAAATAACTCCAGTTAGCCTTTACACCTTGCGCATAACTGTTATACGGTTTTATCCAGACTTTTTGATTTGCCTTCATCTCTACGATAGCTGAGGAAGAACATTGGCCAAGTTCATTGTCTGATGTATCTGCACAGTAATTAGAGCCAATTTGGGTGTCTTCCTTGACAAGAAGAGTAATATAATATTTCTTCATCGCTGCCAATATTGTCCAGTCAAAGCGGTAAATTCCGTCGACAGGCGCTGTAAAGACACCAGTTTTTGCATTGTAGCCACCGCCAATGTTAAGGAATACATGTTCAAATAAAACTTTCTGGCTGCTTTTCAAATTGTTTTGCGCATTTGTCATCTTTGCATGGAAAGCTACAGCCATTTTGTTATTCTTTGAGCCTGCAAAAAAATGCGAAAAATAAGCATAAACAAACATATTATAATTTTCCTGAAACTCAGCATAAACAACCTTTTTCTTCAACCTATTGCTGCTGAGGAGAACAACACGGATGTATTATTTCCCCCGGTGTCTCTATCTAATTCCATTTGTGGGAAAAATATCAAACAGGTTCAATCATTTATCATACCTAAGATTTTTATACACGTTTTCTCAAAGTGCGTTAATTTGGTCGATATCAATGCACTTTGAAATTTTATTTTTTCAAAGTGCCTTGATTTGGTCCTAAATTCAAAATTTTTTTTCAAAGTGCGCAATTTTTCGAAGTACGTTGTAACAAAGCGAAGTCATGGTCAAAGATCTTAAGCAAAAAAAAAACTTTCATATTTTTGAAGTCATTGATTCAATTTGCAAAGGAAAAGTAATGTTATCATCATATACATGTATGCATTAAACTTTTTTTTTTATATTGAAATATTTCAGATTGGATATTTGGAATTCGGAAGTCATATTTCAATATTAAGAAATCCGTAAAGAGAAACGGATTTGTGAATTTGAATTTTGCAATTAATGGATTTTCTAAAACGCCATATTCTGTGGGAAATGATGCTCAAATAACACGTATTCGTATTTTTGTTGAACTTGAGATTTTTCAGAAAGAAATAGACAATTTGTATAAAAGTCATATTCGATTTTAGTCATACGAGTACCTACGATTGTAATCCCTCTATTTTCAAGTAAAATGTTTAGACTTTTGCTTTCAAACTCTTTAAGGTAGTCCAATCCTCAGGTCTATAAAATTAGCAGTTAAGTTGTCAAAAATACTTAAAAAGTATCTTTGAATCCACAAAGTTATGTAAATGTATCCACAGTATTTCTTTAAATTTATAGTTAATCATATCATATAGGGAAAATAGTCAAATCTCCAATATTTTTTTGCAGAAAATGCGGATTGGAATATCAGCAACGCATTTTCTAATTGCAAATTGATCAACAAATATATTTTAGGCTAAAAACGATAGGTATCCAGACATTTAGAGAAATTGATTTTTATACTTATTTGATAGTTTTTGTCTTTTATTTCCGTCATGTATTCTATAATACATAGTGTAAAAGGCTTTTGTTTTCATTGCAAGACACCAATAACTTCTTACTTCTTACTTCATGTCATGCTAATAAGGCTAAGGCTGGATTCAACGAAATCTTATTTCTCTAAACCTGTATTATTAATCTTTTGTCCTTTTATAGGGTACAAATGTAAACCTTTATAAAACCTTTTCTAAGACTTTTAAAGACTTTAAATCTTAAAGAGATGAATAAAATTAAAATCGTTGCATGATAAAAATTTTATTTTCAAGATTAATTTTGATGCATTTCAAATTAAATATTAATTTTTGCCGTTTTCCTTTCTGGCTGAGGATCGGATATCCTTTAATACAACGATTCTTCAGTGCCTGTCCATATATCCAACATCTAAAACAGAATCCTTCTATTTGTTCATATTTTTTTTTTACCCTACAAGTCCTGTTGGTCACGTCATTGCTCATGATGTAAATAATGTAATAACGAGGAGTTATAATCATCTGCAGTGTCTTTATATGATTTGAATAAAAGAAGGAATAAAATCAAATGCAATTTATCAATGAAAAGGCCAAACTTCCGAGAATCCTAATCTTTCAAAACGAATTACAATTACGATATCAAACTACCACTGTCAGTTGAAAAAAATGTTTTTAAAATCAGTTATCATCAATTAAAATTGCTATTAAATTCTCAACCTGTTAAGAAATATATAGAGATGATCATTTTGTACATAAAAGAAACTAAAGTTGCTATTAGAAAGGTTTTTAAGTTTTTGATTCAAGAACTCTTAGTTTTTTTTCGAAAACAAAGATTTCCAATGATCTGTTGAAATCATTTGAAATTTATTACCCCCTCATTAATATAAACTTCCTTTGTAATGAAGCAGAAAAATGTTAAAGAACCACAAAATGAAAAGAAGAAGTGTCTAGATGTGGCTTTAAGGCGGACTTTTAAATGATTGGGGTGTGCTATTTATTAGAAATTGGCATTTTTAAACATACATTGTTTCGATATATCCCTCTGAGCTCGTATTTAAATACAGAATCTTAAATATCTATGTGACATAAGATTAACAGACATACAACTGCAAGTATTTGCATGTATCAAATATTTGATTATACTCAAAGGAATTAATAAAGAGTATCTAAATTCTTCGAATTCTATGACAATTCTGTACAATTATCATGCTAGTACACATTAATTTTCGTTAATTCAAAATTTGACTGATTTTTGCATAAGAATTATTAATTCCATTACCTTTAAACGGAATTTTCAAAATATTGTTGTTGTTTTTTTTTTTTTTTTTTTTTTTTTTTGGTTTTACGGATCATGTCAAAGAGTACTAAAGGCGGGATATTCAGTCGAACGGTGATTTTTTATCTATGACAAACTGATCCCGCGGGTATGTTAAGGAAGCATATAAGTCATTTTTCGGGAAATTTAGACTTTTTAAAGAAAATTAAGTTTGATAATTTACCAAAACTGCTGATAAACGTAAACTATTATTATCTGATGCATAAAGATAAAAGAGTGTCTAAAGCAATGACGTGCACCACCACCAAGGCATCACGTGACTTCTATTAAAAGCGAAATTTTCCTTAATAAAAAAGCTAACAGAAAAACTATACCCCGGAGTTTGATAATTTCTTTGAGTAAATAATGCTGTTGAAAAACATCTATTTTGCCTAAAAAGTGCTGCTAGAATCCAACTGTCCCGTTAGTAAAATAATTATTCCGCACATTCCCAGGAAACCCTACCCGATGTTTTGAATTTTTTACATATGAACCCTGATTTTTCATAAAACCATGCTTAACTCGGGATTCTAGCAGCACTTTCCAACTATTTTAGGAGGCAAACTTTCCATACGTACAAATTTTATGTTTTGAAATATTCAGCTTATTGTTGTTCTGTTGCATTAATTTTGTCACAAATGACAGAGGAAAGGCCGACCGGGATACATATATAGCTGACTGTTAAACGCCATTTTACGTGTCTCTGTATATGCAGTATTAGCCAAATTCTCTTTACACGGCATGATCAATTCCCACCTTACTTGATGTACACATATGACGTCATCGGTGGTAGATTTTAATCAAAATGATAGCATACAGCATTACAAAATAAAAGCATTTTATTTTTGTTAATGTTGACACGTTTCTATTCATTTTCTGGAGTTAAGTTACAGCTCTAAATACCAATATTACGAAAACTTGTGTTTTAAAATTGACGTCATTTCGCCTACTATGACGTCATAATGTAAGCACTGATTTAGTCAAGGTAGAATATTTTGTAACTATGCTTCCTTATTCCCCCTGCGCCCATCACCGTTTTAAGAGGTCCGAATTTTATCTCCTGCACATTTATATATATTCAGTATACTTTTGAGCTTAATAACAGTTTTTTATCACACATTTCCTCGTGGAATTTCTAGTATATAAAATTACAAAAGGATCAACTGGTGCTGGATATAAAAGAGTAAAGTTGTGGAAATGTATTCCAAAGGTTAGTTTCAGACAGATGGGTTTTCTATTGATAAGTCCATGTGGCTAAAACAATAAATAAGTTGCAATTCCTCAATTAAAATTTTTATATATAGTAAAATTGATGACTTACGGTATGAACATGGTCTTTTCTCGTACCCAACAGCAGAGCATGCTTCCTTATAGGACGAGATACTCTTAATAAGCTCCTTTGGATCAAGAATCTTGGATTTGGTTGGTTGAATCATTATTCCAAAGAACAAAACAAAAGTGTACAGCAAATGCATGATAATAGGTTTTTGATTATCTGAAAGTAAAGAAAAAATATTAACATTAATATGAAAAACGGCTTTCATTACCATTGTCATCATTATTATTATCATCATAAACAAAAATAACAAAATCTTTTAGTCAGCGGAAGACCTTTTCCTGTTATTTTTAGATTTCTTTTTACTTTTAATTTTATTTTTTTTCCCGATTTTGTGCGCGCGAATTCTCGAAAACGGCTTAATAGATTTCCATGACTTGTACGGTATGCGTTTTAATGATGTCACTTCCGGTCTGAGTTATTGCCAATTCATGATTTTTAAAGAGTTTGGTTGTACGGAGATTTTCGCATGAATGGTTCTAGAAACGTGAAACCTTTAGACATGATATACATATGTCTGTAGATCTTCGTAACGCATTTCATTTTTACCGGAAATTCCGCATGACAGCACTAGCCTTATTCCAAAAAAGGCATGTCGAATATTTCAAAAACCTTAGCGCCTTTTCTTCTATATCTCTTTTTATGTAAATAATTTGTAAAGAAATGCTAAAAAACTGGAAAATTTCAATATCTGTCATCTGATATAATCAAAAAGGGGCTGGTCTCTAATATAATGGATTAAGAGGGGCCAAAAGATTTTTTTTCTTAATATTTCAACAGCCATACGACTAGGCTGAGGATGTTGTGATTGTTTTTTTTGCACACTATTAACTAGCTGAAAAAATTGTAATATATTAAAGAAACAAAATTGTTTAAAATATCAAGTGGCAGCTAGTGACTTCATCTAAAGTCGTCTAATGACGTCACTTCCGGACAAACCGGACGTATTCAGAAAATACATATTTATGCCATTATTGACACGAGTTTTGGGTGAAAGCTATCATCTGTAGCATAAAACGTTATTTTTTGTCTATTGACGTCACTTCCAGTCGAACTGGAAGTAGCAAAAAATAGCATACTTTTGAAAAATTGCAATTTTCGACATAGATTGAGAGTATTTAAATCTTAGGAGATAGTAATGCTTATTTTTGTAAGTTTACGCCAAACTGGACAGAAGAGAACTAATCGTTCCTTTGCAACGAGCTTTGCTTTAGTAATTTTTTTCTAACATATTTTATTTAAATGCAATTATTTTAATTTTGATTTTATTTTAATTTCTGACGATTAGGATCACTTCTGTTCAAACCATAAGTCGTCTAAAAATGCTTCATTTTACAAAAACCAATATTGAATTCAATCATTTTAGTGCTAAATAAAAATACACGTTTTCCTCGGAAAATAGTAGGCGCACTATGCAGCAAATGTTAATTCAAAACCCAAACATGTGCTTCAATAATTTCCTAAATTTTGTGCTTGAATTATCCACCTTTTTGGGACAAAAAGGATACGTAACGCTGCTAAGACACTTTGACAACTGTGCACCGGAGGTGATAGTACATATGACAAAACATCTCATTATTTTTTTATTTATGCATTCATGTATTTGAGATTTATTAGGTTTATCTTCATGAAATATAACATAAAGAATAGTGAATATTTAAGAATGCAATGGTGATGTTTTTAAACTAGACAACTTGTTCACAATTTTTACGGACAACCCTTGTATTAAAAAATTATAAATGTAAATTACAGTCTTACCGGTTTGATCTGCAAAACGAAGTTGCAAATTATGCTTATCTATTTATATATTCTTCCAGTAAAGGGTTAAAAAGTTGAGTGAAATTTTGTCATTTAAATGTAATATGATACATGTAATTCATGTTCCCCGACAAGGCTAAACTGATCCCTGTTATTTGTCATTAAACTGAAATATAATAGTTTAGGTTCGATTGATAGTTCCTTGTATTGCATATTTGAATTTTAAGTTAGATATTGTTTGCTTTTAGATAATGTGCACATGAACGTCTAATTTAACTAAGAGATATATTTTGCTGATAATTTTTTTCTTTTTTATATAATTTAAATAATAATTTATATATGTAAACTCCAAAATCTTATACTGTGAGATTCATTTAGACGTACATGTTCAAATGATGCTTGTTTGAGGATTTTCTCTTCGATAACTGTGGTTTCATCGAAAAGGCAATGTCTAGATCATAGCACATTTTAAATTCCGCGGATGGAAATTAATACGAAATGCACACTGTGAAACAATCCCGTTGAACTTTCTTTAGAAATATAGATAATGGATCCAGCAGAATACATTCAAAGAAAATTGTAACAACAAACCCCGTGAATGAATAAGAAGTGTCTAAACGTAGAACAGATTATACATGTAATGACGGTGTGTGTTTGCATTCAAAATGATTGGAAGTGTTTGAATCTTAGAATCGTCTGAAACTTGGTCCGCTGGCGTCACTCACGAGCACGAGTAATGATGCAACTACATGCCAAACAAATCTCATTGTTGCGTAAGAAATTTTGACCAACACAAACTTTAGATCTAGTTTAATTATGAACTGTGATTTGCAGATATGTTTATCTTTTACTTGCACCAGAACGCAAGAGAATTCACACTGGGTAACAGTGAAGAATTTATTAGAGTCAATGAACAGTTCACTTATGGTAATTATGACCGTTCTTTGAAAGATATTCGTTTTGACCCAAGTTGGCCTACCTGGGTTGCCGTGAAGTTCAGTTGTAACTAAAGGAAACTCTTGCAATTACGACGAAACACACCAGGAGCAATGCACAAAAGTATTGGTAATCTGAAGGTCAGTAATCTCCTAAGATCTGTAAGAAAGAGCAAATCTATTTTTCTCCAATATTTCTGTGAACATAAAACCTGGTCTATATTTAACCTAGTAACATTAAAGATATCATCAATACACATGAAGGTGTCTGCTTTATGAGGAATTTAATGAATTTACACCCTGTTTTGTAACCATTCAAAGCTCTTTTTACATGCTGCCTTGGAAATTATTTGTAAAACGAAATTAATGGCTACCTAACAACAAAGATATACGATAAATGACTTTAACTCTTCAATCGTCAATTTTCCTTACTTCTGCAGTAATTCTACCTTTGTCGCCTGAATACGGTGTAAAAATATCAGCAGTCTTTTTTAAGATAATATTTTTGTAGCTTCTATGGTTTTTGGTTACCTGTCAGCAAATGCAGTTTATCAATAAGTTTTTTTTCGACCATTATAAAGAGCACACGGCGGTTGTGACCGGTGCAAAGGAGATACTTACTCCCCCATGACACATGATCCCATCTCTGAGGTTTTGGAGGTCCGTGTTTTCTTCCACCCAATATTTAAAATATTGTAAGGACTTTTGAGCTCAAAAATTGTTCGTGATCACCACACATTTCATCATGCATTTACCCAATCTTTAAGTCAGGTGACAAGTGAAATATTAGGGAGAAGTGCAGGGCCACAAAGATATCATTCTTTAATATTAATTTTTATAGTCTTTATGGTTGGAAGTCATACGACAAGAAATAATAAGCAATAACGCATAATCTGCTCATGCATGTACCACTGTTAACCATATTAGTGATATTATATACATTTTTTTTTAAAAGCATATAATGCTTAAACTTGTGTACTACTGCAAGTTCAGAGAAGGCCTATTCATTCTCATTTAAATGGATTTAAAAGGTTTGATCCGTAGATTTTGAACATTTTCTATTTCCACAATTCTGATTCAAACATGTGCTTAAGTTTATAACAATAAATATATGCACAGTTAGGCGCGTATCGAAATACTGTAAAATCCAGCGCTCCTCACAAAATTCCAATAAACGTTTGTCATTTTTTCGTCAAAAAATACTTATTTGAGATAGTGATAAAGAGATAACAATCTTTTGAATTATTGAATTTTATATTTTTGAGTTGCTCTCAATGTTTCTGTGATTTACACTTATTTTGTGGTATCTTTAAAATATTAATAGAAATCTCTATAACACATATTTCTTTTCTCGATTTCACATCCCCGCCCGTCCACCTCATTGCTTTTCCAATCATGTATATTTTTATCGAAAGCTATAAATTCTAATTTTTAAAAAATATTTTTTTTATTTATCGAAGCTGTTGTTATTCTTAACAGAAATCTGGAAACTGGATAACGTGATCACAGACATTATTTGAATTGCAAACAAAGTGAGGAAGAAGGAAGAATGTATAACACACTTTACTTTTTTATGACAGCAAAATCATACAGACCTAGCTTTCTGTTACATGCAAGTATAAATTAAGAGAAATATTAAGAAATTGAAGAATCTGAATAATTGTTTGTAACAAAGCTAAACGTAATCGATATCACAATTTCGTGTGATGATGCACCAATGCAAGTGCCTTGACGAAAATCAATATAAGGCGGTGATGAAATACGTATTCCACATCTACACAATTTACTCTGTCCTCAACGAAAATATCATTCTTCTACATATCTAAGCTCGGAAAAAATGACCCACCGAAAGGAACCAAATCGCGGAACTGGAGTTATAAAAAAAAATTATAAATACGTGTATGTTTCGATCTTTTGGGGTTTTTTTTAATAAAAGGACATGGACACAGATTCAGCTAAACATTTTCAAAATTACTTTTTTTTCCTTTTTATAATGCTTACAAGTACTTTTCTAAGGTTTTTTGATAATTATCAAAAAATTGAATTTAAGTTAAGTTCTCAAGATACAAAACAGGTCTGCATCTAGAGCTCCAAACCTTTGTTATGTAATCAAGACTCAAGTCATTAAGTTGTGTACATAGGTTAAATATATTAATATGAATTCGTTTAAAGTAGATTAATTCAATAAAGAAGTTAATTCTAAATACGATTAGACAGTTTCTACTGATTTAGTGAATCTTGCATTTCAATAAATATTATAATTTCTATAATATGAAAACAAAGACAAGGCACAAACCTTGCTTACATCATGAAAAATTTTAAGTGCGTTATCTCCTTTGTAAATTAACAAATGACGTTCGGATTTCTCATAATGTGAATTTTTTATAACCAATTTTAATGATAACCTTGCTTTTTATTGAAGGCAAGGTAAACATTAAAATTGGTTATTAAAAATCAATTG